AATATATAACAGTTACTTACTTACTTGAGCAGCTGTATGTCATCGACGACCATTGTCACGCTATCGATGCGGCTGGCAACTTCATTCGATTTTTTGTTTCGCTCTCAGAGTCCATGCGATACCGTACAGGCGTACTATGAGGTCTCTTCGCCTCATTGGTGGCCTCCCCAATATTCGCTTGACGGTACACAGATATAATTCCATTATTCGCTTTGTTCATCTATTAACCGACATTCGTGCCACATGATCAGCCCATCTCCTCATTCTGGCGTACATTGCTTCAATAATATCTTTCACGCCAGATCTGGCTCGTAGCACTTCATTTGGAATGTGCTGTAGCCTGTTGGCGCCCATCATTCGCCGCTCCATCGCTTTTTGAGAGACTGTCAATTTCCGTCCTTCAGCAAGCGTGGTATTCCACGTCTCACACACACATAACAATTAATGTTTATAATTCGTTCAGTAAATTAATTCAAATCAGACTCAAAATGTTGCAAATAAGAGAAGCAACGAAAAAGTGTAGTGACACATGAGAGTTTACGTCAAAAGAGTAGAACAACTTTGGTGGCAACATATTGCGTGACACTCTGCATTGGCGACCAGATGCTAAGCGACGATTAAGGTGAGAAGAGTGGCATCACACGAAGTTTAATGCTAAAGTTTTCCAACAATCTGAGGCGAATGTACGAGAAATGTGGAAAAAAATAAACTTACTTTGGTGAATAGATATAACACGACCAGGTAAATGCCACTTCGCTTGCCAAGATGAAGACAGTCAAGAGATCCTGAAATAAAATATGGCAATGATCAGCGCAATTTTCCTTTCGTTTTATTATTCAGGAAGGCTCGAATGCACTAAGCCTGCGGATGACCACACCAATCTCCTGCTACTGCCAAGCCTGTTAATGATTTCTTGTATAAATACCACGGCCTCGTATCAGTGATGTTACTAGGATGCTCCCACACGTCGAATGTAGATATACTAAGCCCATCGCTCGCAGAAAGCATATTTCCAGTTAGTACGAACTGCCTATTCGATATATTTGAGCAGTCTCTTCGTAGGCTGCTCACATGGTCATTTTCATTCACACAAGTATCATTTACTAACACATAAGTCCTCTAACTGTGTAACTTGAAATGGACGAGTAACTTGTCCTGTTCACCGGAGATCCAACAACAAACATTGCTCAAAAAACAATTTTAGGAAAGTTTCAATAACCAGAATCTCTTATCAAAATAATTGTACAAAATGTAGAAAGGTAGCAACAAATGCGAAGGCTACAGTACACTTAAATGAAGGAGGGAGATGGAATGAAACAGCGAAGGACGTTTGTTTGCTTCAAAGTGCCAATTTTTGTGCTA